AAAAAGCAGCGGACGGTCTTCAACTTGCTACAGCAATGCCCAAAAAACTGTCCACTTGCGCGACCATTTAAAATGGCATATTGAAACAACAACTACAATTCATAAGACAGCGCGCATGCGTAGCCAAGTCGTTCAGCGAAAGTAACTGAGCAAGTTTCAGTCGTTTTTTTTTGGCAAATGACCAAAAACAAACTTAGGACTGCTGGTGCATTTATAATTTTTTTTTTTGTTTATCGACAGCGAATATTTATTTTAGAGAAGTTAATTAGAAAAGCACGAAATTTCAGAGTCTTGATTTAGATATGTTAAGAGTTACGGTCGCTTCGTATTTTTTTTCAAAATTTCAAGATCCAGTCACTTATGAAAACAAAAAAAAAAAGTTAGTCGTATACCCTTGAGTCTAAAGTATTTTTTTCTAAAAAAAAATTGTTGGCCGAGCCTAGGGGTCACCTGTTTATTTACTAAGCAAAAGTTGAATGATTTTTCAGAGTTTAAATTAGATTAGAACTGAGATCTGGTGGGTAACGGGGTAGTTGTCTCCTCAAGACAAAAACATCGATATACTCGTATCATACTGTAATATCCGACTGCAAAGTCCGTAGTTGTGACGCAGGATGACTAAAAGCTTTCGGCAAAAAAAAAAACTCGAAATCGCCTTCGAATCGAAATACTTCCTTATCAAAAGTTTAATGATTTTTGGCGTGCTTTAATTTACTGGTTCGTGAAGGTCCATGAACACTGGAACAAAAAAAAAATAAAAAATGTTCTCCTCAAGACAAGAGCATCGATATATCATATTAAAGATGCGACTATTGATGCCGAAGATTGGGCGAAAAATGCCTTGCAAAAATATTTTAGATTCACGTGTATTAGGTTTGGTTAGGGTATAGTGGTTGTACCAGACACGCGATGCGCTTGGACAATTAATAGATTGCCCTTTGTGATACTACGAAAGCTGAATGGGGAGCATTAATTTAGTCGGCGAAACGATGCGAGCTCATTACTAGATTACTGATGCAAGAGGATCAGTTGAAATTCCTAATCTGCAAAAAGATGCACGTCGATGGCACAGCAATTCCAAGAGTGAACAACCCGAAACTCCGCGCACACAACCACAATTTTCAATAAAGTACATAGCCGCAACGAGGTCCT